GTACTGAAGCTTCGCTTTAGATTTTCAAACTCGAAATAAACTTTCAACTTTTCATCATTTTGTAAACGAAAGATTGCATTCCGATACAGGACACAATAAAAGATAGAATCACATGAGGAAGAAATTATTCCGAATTGATATTTTTTAATCTATACTTTAGTTTTTCTTTTACAATGCAATGAACAAAAATCTGCCAAATTGAAAACAATATGGCGCCTATGCAAATTAGCAAAACGTACACCATTTCTCTATGTGTAAATTCAAACGTACACTTAAAAATCATTTATTCAAAGGTTATATATATATAGGAGCGGAATCAACAACTTGAATCACATTCTGACGAAAAAAAGTCGCTCTGGCACTTTTAAACAAATTTTTGGTAAGAAAAATACCCTAAATTACTGAAAAATTTTGAGCAATGAAGAAGTCTTACACGTTTTTGCATATCATTCAAAAGTTATGGTCAAATCAAAACAAGCCTTACTTTTTGACTCCTTAGAATCGTGCCTTTTTTTTTAGTCGTTTGATACTCGCATACCAAATTAAGAAGCAATAATGTTGTAAATAATTTTAAAAGCTGTAAACAAGGTCAAAAACATAAAATTTTATTTGAAATAGTCCTTAAAATCAACTCCCATCAGTACCTTCGGTACTTTGATTAGACGACCTATCCACTTCTGGAAACATTTTGTCATACTCCTCAATAAGGACACCCATTATATGCTGATAAATTGCAGACCCGAGGGCATTTCGTGATTTGTATCTTTTTTCCAGATAGGTGGAAATTATGTTTGGGGAACAGTAAGAAGTCGCACGGGCTAAATCTGGAGAAAACGGGGTATGTGGTTGGACAGTAGCCTTTTCCGCCTCCAACACAAAATACTCAGTCACCTTGTGTGCAGGCGCATCGTCGTGCCAAAGACGAAGATACTTCATACCCGTTTTGGGGCGACGACTTTCGTAATATTTCTTCGGTTTTTTATTAACATCTTTTATAGAAGTTACCTGTGACTGTTTTGCCCTTTAGCACAGGAATTTGCATGACAGGGCCTTTATTGTCAAAGAAAATACATGTAACATATAACACTTTATGACGGTACAGATTGTCGTTTTGTACATATTATCATCGGCGAAAACATGTACCTACCCTCAATGCACATATTGTCGCCGACTGAAAAGTTACACATGTACATATTTTCGCTGGCGACTTTATGTGCCTAACCCTCACTGCACATATTGTCACCCCACATTTATTGCCGCTTAAAGATATTTTTGTTGTTTTTAAGTAGTTTTATGAATGGAATATGTACCTACCCTCACTGCGCATATTGTCGTCCATCAGTAGTCGCATGGCAATGCATGACAGTGCTTCCATATAAATATGACTTATCATTGCTTTGCTGTTTTTGAGAAGAAAAGTTTTAAAGAATTTAAAGATTTTTCCTATATATTCCTATGTAACACTTTGATCGCCCATTGTGGCCCAATCCTAGGCCCGGGGGACATGATTTGAAGAATCTATACTACCGTTGGATATTCTATCATATAAACATCGCTAATCACGGGCCTACTGCTGTTCTTAGTGGTGCCCTTGGATCCCGAAATTTCAGAACGGGGGGGGGGGGGTAAGGTTAATTACTTAATTAGAAAATAGGTTTGTGTTGAAAATCTCTGATCACCTATTGTAGCCACACCCTATCCCCGAGGGACACGGTCTGAATAGAGCTGAATCTACACTTTATAATGCTTTCACATACGTTTCAACTTTTCTGAGACAATGGTTCTTGAGAAGATTTTTTAAAGATGTCACTAACTTTTCACTAATTCTTAACTACTTCCCTTGAAAGACGGCATGACCCTTTATTTGAACAAACTAGAATCCCTTTTCCACGGATGCTTTCTGGAAAGTTTGGTTGAAATTGGCCCAGTAGTTCTTGAGAAGAAGTTGAAAATGTGAATGGTTTACAGACAGACAGACGGACGGACAGACAGACATATCTTGACATATCATAGTGATGTACACCAATCCTGGACAAAATTTTCTGACTTAAAATTTTTCTTCCTATAGTATTATGAGTAATTGTTTACTTATCTGCCATACACTTTGTCTATCCTTCGGTCTGTCTGCCTGTATGTATGTATGTGTCAATCTCTCTCTCTCTCTCTCTCTCTCTCTCTCTCTCACCACGACCTTAGTAAATATTCTTCAGCACAATATATCGGCGACAAAATGTGCAAATGTTAACTACATATTTTCGCCGACGACAAAATGTGCTGATGCGTGACTGTACATTTTGTCGTCCATTATGCAGGGGGAAAAATAGGCTCGATCGCCTCGGTACATACAATATGTACCGATGGACGACAATATGTGCAGTGAGGGTAGGTACATACATTGTCGCCGACGACAATACGTACAGAACAACATGTACCGTCACAAACCTTCACGATTTGTAATCTTTTAGCAATTATACTAGAACGTTTTGCATTCTTTGATGCCCAGATTCTGTTAGAACGCTTACGATTTGGCTCAAAATAGTATACCCATGTCTCCTCATCAGTAACTTAATTATTAAAAGTGTTTTTGGTATATTTAGATACAATTTTAATAATTTCGTTGCATTTTAAACACTGACTCTCTTTTGTTCATCGCTAAGCAAATGAGGTATCCACCTAACGTTTACATTTCTAAGAATAAGATTTTTTTTTCAGAATACCATGAACACGTGCTAACGACAAGTTCGTCATCCGAACCAATTGCCTTACGTATATCTTTGCGTCTTTCTGTAGGATTTGGCAGAAAAGAATGAGCTAATATTATTTTAACAGAACACCCCTAAACCCCAATAAATAGTGGATCCTCCCTCCTGCAAAGATGGGGAGTACGGAAAGCATGAAATGTTTTATATGGAAATCAAAATTTTTTAAAAGAAGGATGCTCCCTTTCTGTAATATGCAATCAATAATAAGCTTTTGCTGAAAAAATTATTATCATCGGGAGAATTCTCATTTTATAGCGAAAATAGTCCTACGAAGCTGGACGTCTATAGTTCTACGCGTAAAATTACTAAAAGTGATGAAATGCAGTTTTAACATTATGCATGTGTATTATTATTTTTCGTTTCAGTTTTAATCATAGTTTATCATATAGAACTGTAAAAAGATTGATATTAATAGATAAATTAATTTATTACATTTTCAACAATGAAATACTGTAATTTATTAATGGACTAAAAGTGATATTCTTTCACACTGTGAACAAATATCAAAGTGATTTTCTTTTACACTCTGAACAAATATCAAAAGTGCGGCAAAGCTCTCGATTTTCCTTTCCTTCATAAAAGTAAAAATAGCCCCTTGTCTGTTGTTAGGTAATGAGGGTAAATAAACAGTCTTGTCAAAAACTAGACTTTCAAAGATTCTCCAAATTGTTGTTAATTTAAACCCATGTTTACAATTTTCAGTCTCACGTTCGCCTTGCTATGACATCTCACAACCGCTCAACTATTCCGTCACAGTCCATAATACTGCACTACGAAAAAACAGGCGCCAAGAGAAAATCAAAGAAAATGTACATGTAATTAACAGAAAATTCAATGTTTTGTAGTTGAGTATGGAATTTATTTCACGAGAGGGACAAGATTTTTTTAAATATATTTTCACTCGTAGTTGCACTCGTGAAAATATCAAATAATCCTGTCCCTCTCGTGAAATAAATTCCATATCCAACTACAAAACATTGAATATCCTCTATTCATACACATAGAAATAAAAATATTTTATTGACAAATATTATATCTGGAAGAATTTTCTCGGAATGGTTTTTTTCCTCAAAATATTTTATTGTAGAAATATGAGAGTTTTTTTTTCAACTTATAATTCGAAAATACTAGTACAATTTTAAATATATAATATACCTTAAATTGAGAATGACTTCTCCAAATCAAAAATGATAAAAGGTTGAGAGCGAATACTAAGTTACTGTTACTAGTATCACAACTTACCATCTTATAGAGGATCATTGTTCAGAAATTATGTTTAAGAATTTTAATCTAAATGAGACGAGTATGAAAATTTTATGTTGATATTGTTTGCCTCTGATCAATTTACAAGTAAATAAACATGGAAATGTTTGTTATTTGATGGCAAATGACCCGGAAATGCACGCACTGAAATAAACTTCACAAGAAATCAATTTGTTTCGGGGAAGATATTTCGTTATTTAACATTGAACCCCGAACGTCCTGATGTTTATTTTATTGACAGAGTTAAAACGACATAAATTGTTAACATATTATGTAATGTCACCTCTGTCATATCGTTAATTTCAATCCATGTTCTCATCCCCGGAAAAAAAGGCGCCAAGTTCAAGGAAGCTGGCGGGAGGAGGCGGTGTATAAATAGCGTACAGGTCCCCTCAGTTGATACATCGCCCACAGAAACAGGACAGGTAGCCATACGTATCAACATTTTTTTCCATTCAGTGTTCATTCAATATTTCTTTTTTTTTAATGGAATCAACTCAAATTACCATTTGAAAATTTCAATTCCTCTCTTTTACTAATTAATATATTTAATAACTTCAATTCGGGATGTTATTTCGTGATTATTTTTTAAAGGATGATGTTGAAGCTTACAGTCCTTCTAGCTTTAGCTGTGTATGCACAAGCCTCGTGTAAGTATACTAATATAAGTTTGTGAATACTATATCTTTTCAAGGTAACTCCGCATCAGTCATGACCCTCTTCATCTGTTTTGGCTGAATACTAATATTTAATTATTGTTTTAATTCATTTACAGATAAGGGAGGTCATGGTGCTGGTGGCTTTGGAGGAGGAGGACTCGGTGGTGTGGGTGGAGGTGCCTTAACTGGAGGAATAAGCTCTAGCGGATTCAGTTCTGGTAGCTTTGTAAGTGGGGGACTGGGAAGCGCACTGGGAGGAGGATTAGGACTAGGCGGTATTGGAGGAGGATTAGGAGGTTACGGAGGAGGACTAGGAGGTTACGGAGGAGGATTAGGAGGTTACGGAGGAGGACTAGGAGGAGGTTTTGGAGGAGGACTAGGAGGAGGTTTTGGAGGACTAGGAGGAGGTGGTTTTGGAGGACTAGGAGGAGGTTTCGGAGGACTAGGAGGAGGATTAGGAGGTTACTACCCAGGCGGAGGATATTATTTCTACTATTATATTGAATACATCATCTACTTGTTAAGAATTTTGGGATCAAGTTTCCCATATGGGGGTTATGGCGGTGGCTTAGGCGGAATTGGCGGTGGTCTAGGCGGAATTAGCGGTGGTTTAGGCGGAATCGGTGGTGGTCTAGGCGGAATGGGCGGTGGTCTAGGCGGAATCGGTGGTGGCTTAGGCGGATATGGCCTGGGCGGTCTTGGTGGTATTGGAGGCGGTCTTGACGGTATCAGTGGCGGCCTTGGTGGTATCAGTGGTGGTATTGGTGGCATCAGTGGCGGCCTTGGTGGTATCGGTGGCGGTCTTGGAGGTGTTGGAGGTGGATTAGGAGGTATGTTTGGACGTTCATGTAATTTTCTTTTATATTTGTTTTTTTAATTATGTATTATGTTTTATGTATTAAGTTTTTTTTAGCACACCCGGTTTGAAAAATACGTAGAAATTATCTTTAATAATTCCGTCTTCCTGTTCATTTTTCTATTTCTCTTCAATCCAATAAGCCGCTTTTTACCAAAATTACCACATATCATCCACTGATAATTGTAAGGGACTGTATTATAATGTATTGAAATAAAAGGTTCACGTAAGATATTCCTCCAAATAAATTACAGAAAAGAAGCGAGAAAACGTCGGTAAAAATGTCTTCATATAATGTAAATTCATAAAATAGGACCTTCAGATGGATTCAGTGGTATAGAAAATCTTATCCTTGAAAACATCAGGACTATAATTTGTTAATCTAATGCGCAAGCAACACCCCATGAACGGAGATTTAATTTAAAACAAAATATTTCCAAAAAGAAAAGGGGGAGTAAGATAACCTTTAAAAAGCAAGGATAAAATCTTGAAATAAATATGAAAGCTTCAATACTAATCCTTATAGTTTGTTGACAAAATGCGGTCCCTAATCCTAAGGAAGACCAGTTAATTTTTAATTTATATTTAGATACATAGAAAAATTTAAAAGTCTCCTTATTAATAAAACTCGATCAAACCAGTATAAGACACAGGTAAGGGTCCAACGTATAATGGAAATAGACTTTTGATGCTGTTATTAGAAAAACAAGGCCAATTATTTTCCGTCCAATTAATATTGGATATTTGCAAGGTACGGTGATATGAACTTGGATGAAGACAGCAAATTGCTAGACTATTAAAGTATGGGAACTTTGTTGAGCAAAATTAAGTAACATCTTATATCGGATAAACATTTTATTTCAATTATGTTTATTCCATTGTGAATTGTAATATTATGCAAGAAAAAATCAATTCATTATTAACATCCTCTATCATTACATAAAAAATTATGTAAACTTTTCTCAAAAACACATTGAAGGTTGAAATTCATAATTTGACTTTGGTGAAAGCATTATTTTCTTAATTTACTGAAAGATTTAGCATTTTATTTTTTCAGGAAAGAAGTATTATTAGGCAGGAAAATGTTTACCGACGCCCGATAACGACGCCCATCATCGAATCATCGTAGACTGGTGTATGTGTATATAGAAATAAATTCTCTGCAAGCTCTGGAGGTGTTATGTATCTATAGACGATAAAAAAGTATTGATTAGGAAGTTGATATACTGGAAAGCACATGAAACTTTAGACCTATATTGAATTGAATATTAAATAAAAACTTCAAGCATATGGGACAGTAAATTGTCACCTAAGCCATAGCAGAAAAGTAAAAAAAAATCTTCTTCAGAAACATTTGATAAAATATGATTTGTCAGGTAATGAGACAAATTTTGTATAAGAAGTGTTTTCTCTCATATATTGCTGTAATGTTCCTTAATCACTGTAAAAAGACTGCGAGGTTGAATTTTCTTCAAGGAGATAAATACCGAAAGAGCTGCACTGGGTCCATGGACGGAAAGTCACTCTAAAAAGGAAATACTAGTAATAATAGGTAGGTAAAAACTAAGAGTAATTAATTTTGTAATGAACTTGATGTATTTTTTTCATTTCAAACAAAACTTACAAAAGTTAAAATAATTAAATAGTATTTCCAGACATTAATCAAGCAAAAACTAATGATTTTCAAAGTTTTTAGGCACAAAAATTCAATGTTATTGATTTTAAAAACGATTCCACGTTTCATGTTTGACGTTAAAAATAAAGGAAGCATTCCTCCTCACAAACCCTTCAATAATCTAAGGTATAGGTATTAGCTTTACATGGGCAGTCAAATTAACCATATCTAACTGACCTTGTAAAACCCTGATTTTATTTTCTAAAATTTGATAAATAATCATAAATAAACTCAATATGAGAGTGAACATTTTTTTTTCTCTATCAGTAATGATTTTACTTGTCGAAATAATTTTTTTGATAAATCAAAAGTAACTTTGACAAGCAATGACATTTGCAGTCTTTAAATAGAAATTGTCTCTCTAATGGTGCATAGACACACTCAAGAACTTTCTGAATAAAACAATGTGAAATTATTCCTATCATTTTATATATATATATATATATATATATATATATATATATATATATATATATATATATATATATATATATATATATATATATATATATATATATATATATATATATATACATAAAGCACTAAAAACCAACAACACTGTATATCCTAAGTGTCGGATCTACTAAGTAGATACAAGGTCACGGATGGAAATTTATATAAAGCACTAAAAATGACCAACGACACGAACAATAATAATTATGTAAATCGCACTTCACCAGAGTACACCCGATAGACAGGACGCAATTCATAGCGCTCCGGATTTCTTTGTTCACAACTGTTTATAAACTTCAAATTAAAACTGTAAATATTTAGTGTTTGGTAGTTTAGTAGTAGTGCTTGTTGTTTTTGTTTCACTATTTCCTTTGTTTTTATGACTTCTTAATTTTTTTCTTTGTCCTGAGGAAGGGATAGGTCGTCCCGAAAATTTCACAATTATTATTGTTCGTGTCGTTGGTCATTTTTAGTGCTTTATATATATATATATATATATAGATATAGATATATATATATATATATATATATATATATATATATATATATAAAGTCCATATATCTGTCGAAAGGGCTACATTTATTATATTATTTTGTTACAGCGATTAACATAGCTAAATTTGAAAATTATAGGAACAAACTACTAGTTTTCTCTCTCTTCTTTTTTTAACACATAGATACTAGAGATCAAAATAAATTAAGATGTTTAATCAAATGGTGTTTCCTTTAAACTTATATAGAGTAATTTAGGAAATTTACTTATTTAAAAGGCTGAACTTGTTGTATTATATTTTGTATCGATTTATGACAAACATGTTTAGTGTGTTTTAAACATTTTTTTACATATGCTTCCAGAAAGCGTACGTTGCTGTTCATGTTAATATGTACATCTGAGTTACGATTTGTATTGACATCACATGTGTAATGGGAAAGTTTGTCATTGTTAACAAATCTTTCTCTAATTTTTTTTCTTTCATGTTTCAATTTTATCAATTATGGAAACTGGTGTCTAGAAAAATACATAATATTAAATATAACTTTTCCTATATTTTGAACATCTGCATCCCGAATACATGTGTACTTTATTGTATATATGTTAATATGTACATTTGAGTTACGATTCGTATTGAAATCGTGTTTGTAATGGGGTCGTTAGCCATTGTTACAAAGAGTGATTCAAATTACAGATTTTATTTTAAACTTTTATCACTCGTTATAACAATGTTTCCAGCTCTAGCCACGTGAAGGCCTCCCCAAAGTAGAGCCATTTGCACCCCCCTTCTTTATTAGGTATACTGTATCAATAAATTAGTCAAGTCAACTTATTTACAGAGTCACTGCCACATATGTCCCATGTAAGGCTGTCCTATTGTGTTTGGGAACCATTCCCTGACCTGCTGAATGACACAGTTTGGCATAATGTCTCTTTTGGGTCCAACAGACTGCCACACGAATCTCCTTCGCTGCATGTCAAGTTGAATGGCTCGCGCTTTTCGTTCTACATATCGACTGTCCTGTGTCGCATAATTTACGTTCCGGATACTTCGCGTTCCGGCCGGAACCTTAAAATCATAATATTGGTTCCGGATTTTACTGTAAGTTTGGTTCCGGCCATGGCTGCAATCTTCGAATCGCGGTATCTCTCAATTATTATCTGCCACATGTGCCAGTTTTCATTCAACACTGAACCATAGAAGTAGTTTTTACCTTGAGGATTAAGCATGGCGTAGCGGTATGCCATTTTCATGTGGCGCAATGTTCTTTTTATAAGGCGTCATGCCCTTTTTGTACAGCCATTTTTAAAAATAAATGAACAACTGATGAATAAATAGCCCAAGTAAAGATCGTAAAATATGCTTTCTGATACATATACACCGAATAAAATTTGGTCGCATGAAAGGCTTTGTTTATCTAATGCATACAAATTAAGTCCCTTTGTTTATTTAGTGCATGTCAGGTGTGAATTTCTCGATAAATAAACGCAGACCCGGGTAAAGAGGATAGAAGATAAACTAGACTGAGATTACAAAAGCCTAAAAAGAAGCACAATGTCAAAGATAAATTTGATCAGTAGATTTTAATTTTATAATCTGATAAAGTAAAGAATTAAATACAAAATGGTATAATTGTATACGACTGAGAGATGCATTCTCTGTTTAAATGATATTACAAGTGTTGCAAATTCCACAATGTTGAGCCTCGAATACATGGCTTCCATTCCTCATAGATATTATCACTTGGCATGAAAATATGATTTATATTCCATTAGAAATAAACAAACATAAAAAATATAATTCACTGATGAAGATAGTTATATAGTTTTTGTGATAAATTAACAATGGATATTTCATGAATATGTGGTTTATTCTGCAATGAAACAAACATGAAAACATACCGATATGGTTTATTCCCTTAGAATAAACAAACACAAGTAATTAATGAAAATTATGTTGTTGCTGTTTTTAAAGACCGTAGGAAGAAAAAAAAAACAAGGTTGAAATATGAAAAGTAAAGACCAGCAATGTTGATTGTGAAAAAAGCAGTGCGGTAAACTGAATTAGCTCTTGACAAATATTTTAGTTAAATCGAGGTTTTAGAAAATTTTAAATGATTTTTTTTTATGTTTTAAAGGCCTTGAAATGCACTTTTTGGTAACTTCGATGCAAGTCCTACCCACGGAGAGTATTTTCAAACATATTTGTTACATGTACTAGGTTGTTTCTTTTCCACTTTATTACGCATACGAAGGAAAATTAATTAATTTAATACGAATAAAAATTAGATAACGTTTCGGGTTACAATTGCTGTGTATTTTCAAACATCTTTTGTTACTAGGCTGTTTCTTTTTCACTTTATTACAAAGATAAAGTAGCCCGGAACTAAAATTATGGTCATAATTAACGTTCCGGGTTACAATTGCTGAGAGTATTTTCAAATATCATTGTTACTAGGTTGTTTCTTTTCCACTTTATTACGAAGTTAAAGTAGTCCGGAACCAAAATTATGGTCATAATTAACGTTCCGGGTTACAATTGCTGAGAGTATTTTCAAATATTTTTGTTACTAAGTTGTTTCTTTTCCACTTTATTACAAATAAAAGATAAAGTAGCCCGGAACCAAAATTATGGTCATAATTAACGTTCCAGTTTACAATTGCTGTGTATTTTCAAACATCTTTTGTTACTAGGCTGTTTTTTTTTTTTAACTTTATTACGAAGATAAAGTAGCCCGGAACCAAAATTCAAAGGCACTTGGAGTATGGACTCCCCCCCCCCCCCCCTTTTCCATTTTTTTTCTTTTTAAATCTGGGGTCGTTTTCGACGGATACATATTTTTATGTATCAGTCGAAAACGGTATATTTAAAAACAGCATATAGAGACAAACGAGTTACATTATTGATAACATATAGTGCATATTAGAATACAAAAATAGGTAAAAGGTGACTCGACCCCAGATTTAAAAAGAAAAAAAATGGAAAAAGGGGGTTCATACCCCGAGTGCCTGTGCCAAAATTATAGTCATAATTAACGTTCTGGGTTACAATTGCTGTGTATTTTCAAACATCTTTTGTTACTAGGCTGTTTCTCTTCCACTTTATTACAAAGATAAAGTAGCCCGGAACTAAAATTATGGTCATAATTAACGTTCCGGGTTACAATTGCTGGGAGTATTTTCAAATAGTTTTGTTACTAGGTTGTTTCTTTTCCACTTTATTACGAAGATAAAGTAGCCCGGAACCAAAATTATGGTCATAATTAACGTTCCGGGTTACAATTGCTGAGAGTATTTTCAAATAGTTTTGTTACTAGGTTGTTTCTTTTCCACTTTATTACGAAGATAAAGAAGCCCGGAACTAAAATTATGGTCATAATTAACGTTCCGGGTTACAATTGCTGAGAGTATTTTCAAATATTTTTGTTACTAGGTTGTTTCTTTTCCACTTTATTACAAAGATAAAGTAGCCCGGAACCAAAATTATGGTCATAATTAACGTTCCGGGTTACAATTGCTGAGAGTATTTTCAAATATTTTTGTTACTAG